TTGTTAGCTATTGTGATAAATGTAAGAATGTGAAATTATTGAGGGCCTGGTTTGTCTGACAGATATAGTTATTAATTGCAAAACACTAGAGAAATATAAAGTATCATATTAGGAAAAATAGCAGGATAAGATTCTAAGAGTGTTTTGAAGTCAGACTGACTCCGCCATTTACTACCATTTACTTATCGGGCAATCTTGTGCAAATCTCAACTTCAGCATCCTTCTATGTAAAATAAGAATAATAACAGTACCTATCTCACAGGAGCACTATGGGAATAAAATGAGACAGTGTCTATAGAAAGCAAAGGCACATGGGATGAGATTTTAAAAAGTAAGCTATTTTTAAAATTAACACCCCATTCTTCACATTTAGATCCATGTCCCTTTCTCCCAATATTTTTGAAATTATGGAATTTGTTTTAATTCCTCACTAACAGAAAAACTAAAAGAGTATTACTTTTATTATTCTTAAGGAAGTACTTCATGGAAACCAAAGAATTCTAAGGACAAAATGTATGTGCTGACAGAAAGCATTAGGTAGGTTGTCATTGTGATGATACATCTGTATCATACATAAGGGTAGAGACATAGGGCCAAAGACAAAGGAATAGTCTCTAAAAATGAAGGAGAGGAACAGAGAATGATTCCAAATACATGGGGTTTATTCAAAAACAGAGGTGTATTTAAGATTTTTCTTATATGATAAGATGAGGAAAGGACTATAAAAGGTGGTTCAATTCTTTAAGAACATTAAAAAATTAAAATTAATTTTTTAAGTTTCTCTGATTTTACTGCAGAATAGATTTATTAAACTTTCTCATAAATATAAAAGATGGTTTACATCTAATTTCTGAAACATGAATTAATAAAACTTAATTAAGAATTCTTCTCACTCACATGGATTCAGTGATATCAATTCCTATAAAGCATCTGAGTCCATCTAAAACCAACCTGTAGTTTGATTAGATCCAGTCATTATCTACATAAGACCATGGTCCACCAGCTCAGTTTTCATTCATGGCCCATAATCACTCTTCATAGAATTTACATTCTCATAAATTTCTGATCCCAGACTTCATTGTCCTGTGGCAGCTGACTCTCTAGCATTTCAGTTCCCACCCTCTCTTGCACAACTCTATGAAATATGCCCTCCAACTTTGAATCTTATGTAATACTCCCTACACCCACCAGGACTAATGTATTTGATGACATGGAGAAGCCAGGTACCTCATCCCTCACCATTAAATGACTCCCCAGAATCTATCTCTTCTATGAAATTATTCTCAGAGTCCAATCTATGACTGTCCTAAATCTCTCTTTCTGCCCATTTCATGCAAGTCTGTGTATATGCATAAACCTAGGCATTCTTCCTTCCTCTTAAAAATGTGAATTCCTTTTGAATGGGATTCCCAACTAAAAATCTTTCATATCTGTGAGAACTCCTGTGGGACTAATGAAGAAACAGGTGGCATGCTAAGTGAATATTGACTAGTTCATTTAATTTTATTTTTAGTTTAATATTTTAAATTTTATTTTTGACTAATGATAATAAATAGAAGTAAAGCACATTTTTGGCATTAAGAATTTTACTCTGGAACCAGACTATTTCCTTACTAATGCCAGCTCTATTACTGACACTGTGTGCTCTCTAAACCTCAGCTGTTTCAAATGTTAAATGAGGGCAATAATAGTACCCACTTAATAGGATTATTTTAAGGATTAAATTAAATAATCCATGTAAAGTACTTTTAAAAAGGGCATACTACATATCAAGTACTTGATGAATGTTTGTTGTGTTGTTCTTATTACTTTAGATTATCAGGAAAGTATAACCAGTCATTTTCTAAGGTTTGAGTGTACATTTGAATCACTCATATAATGAGAGTCACTAAATTATATAAGTGTCAGTTAAGTCTTAATTCAAGTTTGTGCCTTTCCTTCAGAAGTTTTGAAATTGTATCTGATGATCAACAGCATAAAAAGAAATTGTTTCTTATCATACAGCACCCAAAACAATTGGACTTGCCAATACTCTCTTTATTTCTGCCCTTAGGACAAGTGTGAAGTCATCTATCACCTCCTAGAGGTTTAATCCATTAGATACTCCAATTGCTGTCCTATCTGACTTCCTAATATTAGACACTGTCTACCCTCCCTTTTCCTATTCCTTTGACTTCCAGACACATGTCCTGCTTGTTTTCTTCCTATATCTTCCCAATACTTCTTAGTCCTTTGTGGTTTTCTCTTCCCTTTCTTCAGATAATTTTGTTGCCCAGGTAACCTCCTTTCTCACTCCTAACACTTGCCTTGGATTACCCCATTATCTCTCAAGATTTCAACATATTGATGACTCCATGTCCATCTGTACTGCCACTGTCTGAGGCCGGGCCCTCATCGCTTCCAATTTAACTTATGAAAATTGCCTCTTAAATGGTCTCCTGGCTGCCATCTTTTCCCTGCTTTAAGATTTCTCCTTCACATAACCACCAGAGTGACCTTCCTGAAATGTAATCTGACTTTGTCCTCCTCAAGCTAAAGCTCCTTTCCCTTGCTGGATAAGACCTTAAGAAGGAACCCTAGGGGCGCCTGGGTGGCGCAGTCGGTTAAGCGTCCGACTTCAGCCAGGTCACCATCTCGCGGTCCGGGAGTTCGAGCCCTGCATCGGGCTCTGGGCTGATGGCTCAGAGCCTGGAGCCTGTTTCTGACTCTGTGTCTCCCTCTCTCTCTGCCCCTCCCCCGTTCATGCTTTGTCTCTCTCTGTCCCAAAAATAAATAAACGTTGAAAAAAAAAATTAAAAAAAAAAAAAAAAAAGAAGGAACCCTAATTGGGGGCACCTGGGTAGCTCAGTTGGTTAAACATCCAACTTTGGTTCAGGGCATGATCTCACAGTTCGTGAGTTCAAGCCCTGCGTTGGGCTCTGTGCTGACAGTTCAGAGCCTGGAGCCTACTTCCGATTCTGTGTCTCCCTCTCTCTCTGCCTTTCCCCCATTTGTACTTTGACTCTCTCTCTCTCTCTCAAAATAAGTAAACATTAAAAAATAATTAAGAAGGAACCCTAATTGTTGTTCAGATTATGCCTCGTTCAAACAAAAGCCCATGGTTCTAAAAGTTTCCCTGGAGCTGTATTTTTTTATTCAGCACAAATTTATTTATTCCAGCACAAATCATTGATTGCAGCCTTAAAATCAGAAGAGGTTATAAATTCCAATAAATGAATTTTACCAGATCTCCTAAACTGAAATTTTTTAGAAAAGTCAATTACATATATATACACACACACAGTACATTGTTGTTCTTTTTGAAAAAGAGATTATAGAGTTTTCATGATGGTGAAAGCATATACTATAAATACATACACTTAAATAAAATCAGTTAGACAAAGAAAATGGGGTAATAATGAAAACTGACTACTCCATAATTTAACAACATTTTCCATAAGCTTAGATTTAGATGTATTATACATTGTAGATCCTCATATTATAGAACTGCTAACCATCAATCTTTGCTAGAAAGTGATGAACACTGTTAAGAGTCCACACATATCAGAGCCTTCTGTCAATGTATATGAACAATGTAGAGGAATGTATAGGAATTCCAAGAGAAATTGCTAAAGAAAGAGGGGATGATAGTAAGACCTGCTGAGTCAGAAGCCAAAGTCTGGATTCTGTCCTGTCTATGGCCCTACTTCATAAGACAACTAATTAGACTTTTAAGATACTACTTTTTTCATCTTCAGAATAGGGGCTTTAATTGCACAAATCTCTAAGGCCCTTGTCAGCTTTGAAATTTGAATATTAGCTGCTATGGCTTATCCACAGAATAGAACAACTCTCCTCTAAACATGCTTTGAGAAGGATAAAATCTATATTTGCCCCTTAGTCACAGTTTAAAGATCTCTTAGGTGTCCAGACTTAATGAGGTTCCTCAATCTATATTCCTGTAAGCCTCCACCTTCAGGTGCTAAAATCTTTAGCTTCTTCATCTCTCTAACTATGCTGGACATTTTCATATAATGTAGCCTGAATTGTTCTAGGCTTGAATCAATAAAAATTTAACAGAGAACTCAACATAACCCACGCCCCCTGCTTTCAGGTCCAAGTAACGATACCTCCATAGTCTTCCAGTGACACACACTAAATACTTCACAAGGAAAGAGCTGGATAAGTAATTAGTGTGTGTGTTTTAGCTCCAGTTTCTTGCACTAGGGTTATAACATCTGTATGCAGTAAAGTTAAAGGGTAGAGTTGGCTCCATCAGACAATTTCAGACATCCACACCATCACAGTCATAGCAGCTGACATGTTTTTTGCAGTGGAGATTTAATGTATTGGATAGGATTATGAGTGAATTGGATTGGCTTCACCATTTTGTATCATATTTTGCTTTATGATGAGCTGTAAGCCAGAGTCTATATAGTTAGACTTGGGGGCTTAGTAACATAACCAATAAAATATAGTGAGGAAAAAACAAGGCAGCATTCTAGAGTATATCAAATGAAAAGCCATCCCAGCATTAAAAATTCTGCTGATATTTGGAGATGTCTGTCTCAGACTGCTCTCTTATAAATTTTCCCTTAGAAAGCACACCCTTGCCATATAGCTACTACTGTACTCTGTCAAATACAGGTAGGGTCCTGCAAAGAAGATGAAAAAAGAATGCAGTGTGCTTACCTGAATTATTCAAGCAAAAATAAAGGAATGCAATGTGCTTCACTTAACTCAAGCCAAGATCTCCACATTCCCTAAATCAGAGGTCCAATACTCACAGAGAAAATTCAGCAATCTGATTACAGTTTGCTTTGATTTGTAGCCTTGTAAGCTTGGAATGGAATCAGAAAATATATACACCTTGGAATGGAATCAGAAAAACGTGTAAAGATGTGATATACAGAACAAGGTAGACAATTCACCCTGTCAGTGTGAGTCCAGAAGTGTGAGATTCCTCCCACAGATGACTGGCCCCACGGCCACCTGTAACTTGAGCCCCAAAAGTCACTTACCCTATGACGATACAGGAGATGGCAGTTCCCAAGAAGGCATATGTTAAAATAGATCCTAAGTTTTGAAAAAAGTGTCTCTGGGGAGAAAAGAATAGATTTCATATAGTATGTCCATATTTTTTCTTAGTGTAACAGTAAATAAAAATAAATGTATGCATTTTTACAGGCCCTCCCTTCCCTCACTGTTTAGGCAAATTCTGGTTTTGGAACCTTAATTCCTGGCCTTATTGCACAAATAAGGTTGAACTGATTTACACTGCAAAGGACAGAGGTTTCTCAAAGAAAGGAGGAAAAATGCATCTAGAAAATGACAGGGTAGAGATGAGAGAAACGACTGCCAGAACTGGCTGGACCTGAGAGAGAGAGAGTAAAGGACTGGGCCAATGTCCATGTAGAACTCTGGCATGATTAACAGAAAATGAAGTTTTTAGGAAATGTTGTTGCCAGTGAAACCCCTTTAATATTTTAAAAATACTATCCTGAAATATTTTAATTGCCTTTTGACTTACTGGATCTCTGACTTCTATTTCTTCTGAATGCAATGAAACAAAACCTTAATCATCTACAACAATTTATTTTAAGGAGTCACACAAATGATGCCTAGTATTAGGACTGGGGATAAGGAAGGATGAGGTGAGTAAAACCAGCCTTCTAAGTCTTCTCAAAGGTTGGCTTGGGAAAACTCCCTTCCAGTTGTGTAGTTGGGAGCTGAGCAGTTAGAAGTGACAGCAAGAGGGAGCCTGGAGTACACAAGAAAATAGGGTCTGTACTGTAAAAGCCGCCTGGCTGCAGGCACTGACAGGCCAAAGGGAGGAAGGCCCCTGGAGTCTCTGGGGTGGGGAGCAGGGAGCAGAAAAGCAGCTGCACTACCTCTGCATCTTGAAACCCACACAGGCCAGAGCCTCAATCTGCGGCACAGGAGATGCTAGCACTTAAACTATCAAGGGAATTACTAACCTGTGAAATGTGCACATTCAGGTGATACTTAAATAATGTCAGGCGAAAGCACAGAAGCAACAAAACTGGATTTCCTCTCTATGAGCATCAACAGCTGAGTATTAGCAAGGCATCTTGAGTTTTTACCCTAATTGATAAGCCCAACGTCTATCCCAATTAATAGCTAACTCTGGTTACAATCATCTAGAATGATATTGTTCAATAGAAATATGATACAAACCATGCATGTCATTTAAAATTTTTCTAGTAGGCACATTATAATAATTTTTAAAAAGGCAAAATGAATTTCGATAATATATGTCTTATTTAACCCAATATATCTGAAACATTATCATTTCTACATGAAATCAATATCAAACATAATGAAGGTATTTTTTGTTCTTTTTTTAAGTTCATTGAAATCCAATGTCCATTTTATACTTAAAGCATATCTTCATTCAGACTAGCCACATTTCAAGGCTTAATAGCTGCATGTGCCCAATGGCTAGTGTATTGTATAGATCAGATTTAGAAGAATTATAAGCACGTCAGATTTGAATCTGTATCACAGGTATCTAAGATAATGATATCCTTACAAAATAAATAAACCCATAAAATAATTGCTTTTTCATTAGCACTGGGTAAAATTCTCTGCTAAATGATAAAAGAAGAAAACAACCACTGTATATTTACCTTCTTCAGGCTATATCCTGCATGAAATATAATTGGTGGCAGTAAAACATTGAAGAAGATTTCTGGATCAAATGTCATCTGCCAGAAAAGATAAAAGTATAATTACAAAGATGATCCTTTGGGTCACTAAAAATGTGTTTTAAAATACAGTTATAGTCACCTTTGGTAAGGTTGTATGAGGTATATTAACATGCTATTAAATTAGCACAGATGAAAATTGGAAAAAATGCAAACAGAAATTCATAAATGCAATATAACTATGAAGTAACATTTTCAATGTACAACCTATACTCCATTCTATAGCTAGCAATAATAACAACAACAATTCAATAAAACCCTTCTAGGCAAAGAAAACTCTTATCATTGATTTTGATTAGTTATCCATTCTTCATATATTAAATATCTTTATTATACATATATATTTATTTATATTCTGGTCAAAGAAATTTTCTGGTAATGCTCAAGCATTTTAGCTTTCCCCAAATTTGAACTTTCCCCAAATAAAACATTTTTTAAAAGTTTGCTCTTAGTTTATCCTACTTTATCCCATTCCAGAGTTTAAAATATTTTCCAAACTTTATGTAAAAATATATTTGAAAGTGAAAATGGATTTTTCTAGTGTTTGTTTATTGGCTTTTACTTAAGTGTTAACATAAAGTTGGCCAGAAAAAAAAAAAAACTTATTTGGTGTCAAATACAATGAAATGAAATAAAGAGACTCTTGAATCTAAACCTACTATTTGTTGGGAAATCTGAAGATGAAACGCTTAATCTTTAAAGTCTTACTAAGACTTATTTTCTTCTTTCTCTACCCCATTCCCCAAATACACAATGTCGTTCATTATTTACCACTAAGGCCTTTTACCATTACAATATTCATCAAAATCTTTCACATATAGTTTTCACAATTATAATATCCAATTTCCCCTCCCTTTTTGTGCCTTAATTCTAACTCATCTCTAGAGCTGGATCTCAGAAGCTACTCTTCTCTGAAGTCCACTTTGATTTCCCTAGTTTCTTAGGTGTTTTCTTCCTTTATTTAAAAAAAAAATTAATGTTTATTTATTATTGAGAGACAGAGAGAGACAGAGCATGAGCATGGGAGGGGTGGAGAGAGGGAAAGACACAGAATATGAAGCAGGCTCCAGGCTCTGAGCTGTCAGCACAGGGCCCGAGGCAGGACTGGAGCTCACAAACTGCGAGATCATGATCTGAGCCCAAGTCGGACGCTTAACCTTAATCGACTGAGCCACCCAGGTGCCTCTCTTCTGTGTTCTTTTAGCACTTTGGATCCTCCTCCTTTTCCATAATAGCCCCTCAATTGTACTCATGTAACATTTGGGAAGGGGTAGGTGGGACTCAGCCGGGTCTCAGAAACTTAATTCATCCATTGATGTTATAACATCTTGTATCAATGAACATTCAGGTAGATCAACTATGGGCCATTCATAGCTCTCTGTGCCTCAGTTTCTTCATCTTTAGAATGAAGATAATAGGAAGCGTGGGTGGCTCAGTCGGTTAAGCACCCGACTCTTGGTTTCAGCTCAGGTCATGATCTCACAGTCATGGATGGAGCCCTGCATCAGTCTCTATGCTGATCTTGGAACCTGCTTGGGATTCTCTGGCTCCCTCTCTCTTTGCCCCTACCAGGCTTGCTCACTTTCAAAATAAACAAATAAACATTTATAATAAAAAAAAAATATAATGAAGATAATAAGATGATACCTAATTCTAAGGTGGTTATAAAAATTAAATCAATTAAAATTTGTAAAGCCTTTGCAGCATTACCTAACATCTAGTAAGCACTTGTAAGTACTTATCCCTAAAGAAAATAAAATATATGAATAAATATTTTCCGGTTATACTATTTGAAGAAACTGCTCTGCTGTTAGGAACTCTTGAAGGTTACAGCTGTGTAAAATCTGGGCAAAGAAATTATGAATCCTTCGAAGTTTGCTCTTTTTTCAAATATTATCTGATACACCATTATTGATCTATTTTTATGAGGCCTCTTTGAAAGTATATCAATTGCATATTTGAAAGTTTTTAGCAAAGAGATGTATTTCTGAGTGCTGGGGGAAGGAAGCAATGCAGCTGTGATCATCTGGAAGAAAAAAACACAGTGGCACAAACATTTTGGACAGCAAATCCCTTGCCTCAGCAGTTTTTCTGCAAAAATCAGGTTAATCACTCAACCAGAACATTTCAATAATCAGAATGCCCCATTCCCTGCATGCAGGTTAACTAATGTACTATTGAATTATATTTTCTGGAGCAGCCAGATGAAACTGGCAGGCTGAGAATGGCATGCAGCATACGAGGATTTATTTGTATATACAAAACAGATTTGTGTTCCTTTCAGACTTGCTATAAGCTTAGGAACTGCTAAATCAGAGTTCTGGGAGTAACTCCAAACCCAGACAATTTCTCAGAAATGGCTAGATCTGCTGCTGCACCAGTCTCCAGATGGCGATTCCACATTTCATTTTCCTCAGATTTTGTGTTCAAATCATGGCCTTAGAGGTGAGACTGTTTCTAAGGCCCAAACAATTAAAATTTTTCAATATATAGTGAGGGGGAAAACATCTAAGACAAGTGAGTGGGAAAAACAGAAAGCTAAAAATATTTCAGCTAAAGACATTAGTCTTTTACGATATAAAGCAGAAAGGCCAGCCCCATCCAACAGAACTTCCTGTGATAATGGAAATAGACTACAATTGTACTGTCCAATATGGTAGCCACTACCCACATGAGCTATTAAGCAAATGAATTTCAGGCTAGCGCAACTGAGGGACTGAATTTTTTATTTTCACATCTCCTGAGTAGTAGCTGGCAAAGGCAATTATCCTCATTTTCCAGAGACAGGAGAAGAAATGAATGGCATACTCAGTGTTAATCAGTGTGACAGGGATATCACTAAGAATTGGGCATATATGCATGGGCAAACTAAATGTGTAGTTTTTGAGGGAACATCAGGCTAACAATTACTTAGGGCAAGATTTAGGAATGTTTAAGAAGAGTTGGGACTCAGATATGATTTTACTATTTTGGTAATTCCCGATTCCTTTGGAAAAGTGGAAGTGGTTAACACAATAATGTGTTCAATCATTTTCAATGATTTTTTTTCATTAAAATTTTAACAAGTCTCTGCTACAAAGTACTTAAAGATATACTGATAGATATACTGAACCCATGAAGGCTATAGTCAAAGGAAGGAAAGATGATATTCCAGCACAGTAAAAGGAACGGGGCTAGGCTGTAATTCAGAGTTCTCTAGGACAGAAACACCAAAACACCATTCTGGGCTGGCTGACCCTGCAGGGAGGCTTGATGTTCAAGCAGCATATAAGCTGGGCTTTAAAGGATGGATAGGAGCCTATCCATGGGGCACCACCATGTAGAACATGCTCCTTTGTCTACCCTGGGGGCAGTGGGCCAGGGTTCACCAAGCCACAGAGCAAATTGGTAGCTTCCTGGAGTTTCGGTTATACTTAATAGCAAGTGATTTGAAACATTTCAAGTATTAAAATAAATGAAGATTTATTAAAAATCTCAAAAAAATCTGTATGAACTTTTCCTATAAATAGGAGACTTCAAAGAAAACTTGGCTCACTCAGGGCAGGCAGCTTTGGGGCATACCTAGAGACACCTCAAGGGTGTCCATTTCCTTTCCTCTGCTCTAAGTTATGCTTTAGATAGAAGGCACCAGACACACTTGGGAAATAACAATAGATAATGCAGGGCTCCTGAGGGATGGAGAAGGAGGTTAATGCAGGTGCTGTGTTGATGGGTTGCAGGGGTGCCATGACATATCAGTCCCTTCATCTTTGGGCTAAGGGATGGTCAGAGGCCCAAGTCTAATCCTTTCAGCCCTGAGTAGTCTCATCAGGACCCTAATTTTCCTACAGTTTACCCCCATTGACCCGATACAATCATTTTCTGTGTCATGATGGGGATAATGCTGGCATGCACTTCTTTAAGCAAAGGTTATCTCTGTAGTTATAGATATGAAGCCAGGATAAAGATAATCACCTCCTCACTAAGTCTATAGAAAATCCTTCTTCCAACTTCCACCTTTCCTTTCTGCCACCACTTTCTCTCTTTGACCACGTAGAGATGGATTTAAACTACATTCATTCAACCATGGAGAAAAGTAGAAATGTTTTACACAAGTAAGATTAAACAATAAAATGGCCAGTGGGAGTATAAATTTGTATATCCTCTTAATAGGGTAATTTGGCAATAGATATTCAAATGGTAAATGTCCGTACCATTTGATTCAGCAATATCTCATCCAAGAATTCATCCTGCAGATATGCCTATACATGTATGGAATGGCCCCAAGGACAGGAGCATTCATTGCAGATGAAAGAATTGGAAAAAAAAATGTTGGGGATGATTAAACCATGAACTGGTTAAATAAATTATGGTGTAATCCATAAAATTGAATACTATATAACTTTTTTAAAGGCCGAGGAAACTGTATATGCATTGAAATGGTTACTTTCTATAATTTGTTGTCAAGTCAAAAGAGCAAGGTGTAAGAGCATGTCTGGTGTATATAAAAAAATTGCTATGGGCTCACCAAACCCATTTCATTTTTGTCCTGGTCAGACACCTGACTTCATTTCCTTGTAGTCAGGTGGGGCCATATGACAGAGATCTAGCCAAATAAATATGGACAAAAATAATATAAATTATTTCCAAGCCTGGTCCCTAAAAACCCCCTAGATCTTCCATGCTCTATTCCTTTCTTTGTTAGTTCATCATAAAGAGCATTTGGCAGAGGTCCCAAATCCCTAGGGACTGGCAGAGCCACTAGATTAAAGGAAGTTGGGATGATTAATTGTTACTGGAGAAGACTAGTACTCCCTTTACTGGCCCAAAGGCCAAACTGGATTGGGACATGAGCAAGAAGTAAACCATTATTGCCTTAAATCATGGAGATTTGGGGGTAGCTGGTTAAAGCATTTTGCTTATTCAAGGGGATGCAAAAAAGGGGATGCAGAATATTTACATACATATATATGCATACACACACATAAACTATTGGTTGTCTCCAGTGAGACTAGGAAAGA